CGAGTCAGTGGAGGAGCTGAAAGAAATCCCAAATGATGCAGAAGTTGCATATTCACACCCTCCTAATCCCCAATCATCCAACTATGACTCAGAGATCATGGACCTTGAACAGAAGGTAGCCTGTAATCAACAGCCCCATACTTGCAAGGTGTGCCAGTGTCTTGTCATGGACAAAACAGTACAATGGGTCTGCAAACAGTGTGCACCATTCAACACAGCTGACAATGACTTTGTCAATGAGGATGGGCATTGGGGGATGAAATGGCTATATGAATTTATGAATTCCTGGGTACCCAGAATCACTGTCAATGCTCATTGTAATAATGACATAAAACTACTTACCAATTCAAAGGAGATGACCAATATCTCCTTCTACATCACAGCTTATTCAACCAAGCAACAAGGGCAAAGCTACAATCTGTCAGCAATCATGACAAAAGGCTTCTCTTACCATTCCAAACAGACCACATATATCATATACTGATGGAATCCATGATCAACAACAAAAGCTACTATTTCATCTGGTGCATGCAATAAATTCCAAGCAAGAACTGTCAGCCCCAATGGTGGTCTCTTATCCCATGGGGTGGAAGGACTCATACTGTTCACATTGTTATGCACCTATTTACTGGAAATCATTTGTGACTGTGATGTTGGAAGCATTTCTGGAGCTTTGTCAATGTCAATTCTCAAATAGTTTTGAGGAGCATTGTGCTGGATCAAGGTGAGAAGATTGTTTTGATAAGAGAATTACAACCACCTTACAGTTTGTGGAACATGATTAGCAATGAGATTGAAGCAAGGGAAGATGCAGAAGCATCAGAGAAACAAGCTACTGGCATGGTTGACAACAGGGATGAGGTGAGTAAAAGTGTCAAGGCATCATAAAGTTTGACTGAAGGTGAAAGCAGACAGGCAGTGAAACGTTGACCCTGGATGTAAATGGCAATGGGAGGTTGTTTGTGAAGTCACAAGTTGAAGTTGTTGACTACACCCTCCATGGAGAAGCACTGTTGATGTCAAATATCATGGACTTTTTTGTCAACACATATGAGGCCAACATTGATAAGGGTTCACACCAATGGGAGAAAGTTGCTGCATCAGTGACAGATGATCAAACTGATTTAATATGAGGTCCAAAATGGCATCAGGGAAAGCCACTTCATAAATGTGTCTAATATCTCAAATCTCATCCAAAATACAAGAGCAAATATTGTATCATGCAGAGCCCACATCACAATACCCTCCCTAACTTCATTGGACAATATTTCCCATCATGCGATGACAAAGATCAGCAGTCATTCTATTATGCATCCATGCTCATGCTACTACAGCCATGGAGAAACCTCCAAATTGATCTGAAAGATCCCAGCAAGACATGGGAAGAAGCCTTCAACATGTTCTGCTCAACAGCATTGCCAAGAGATCACTGTATCATTTCAAGTATCCAGTACTTTCATCTTTGCAGTTCATTTGCACTCAAGGGGTGAGGGTGGTAAGTGATCTAATGTATTGTGTGGGATGTAGTAGCCACATGCATGAGTGGGTATTGAGTCTATGCTGAATGGGTGAAAGTGCACAGCACTTTCTGGCTGTGGGACTATGAAGCTGGTGGAAGAGCATCAGCTGTGGGGGTGGGTGGGAGTCTGGCTGAGCACATGATGCTTGTTGGAGGCTCCTGCAGTCCATGGCAGATGAGGGTGAGCATGTCAGTGCAGAAGATGAGGAGGTCATCCTGTGGTTTGCTAACTCAAAGGTGACCAACAAGGGAGTGGAGTGAGGGTGAAAAAGGAGTGTAAGGAGCTGCAAATCCTGACAAGTGACTGGGATGGCCATTGGCATCAAGAGCAAGAGACAATGCCTCGCTTTGGCCATTCCCACAAAGACATTATTCTATCACTATGTTGTGCCTCCTTACATGATAGAATCTCAATCTTTGCAGTTTGTTCATGCTCAAGGGGTGAGGGTGGTAAGTGATCTAATGCATTGTGTGGGATGCAGTAGCTACATGCATGAGTGGGTATTGAGTCTACACTGAATGGGCAAAAGTGTGCAGCACTTTCCAGCCATGGGACTATGAAGTTGGCAGAAGAGCATCAGCTGCAGATCCGATTGGCTGTTGGTTGCCTGACATGCCAATCTGACAGTTGAATGCCCAGCTGGTAGGAGGGTAGACTCATGTGGGCATGCTTGGTTCATGGTTGGACAGGGGGCATCACTGGCCATGTGAATTCTGATGTGGTGCTGGGGGGCATGGCTTGTATGTATGGGGCTAGGATCTGATTGTGCTTGCATAGGTAGAGTTGAGACACATCACTTGCCCATCTTCCTTTGACTTTCATCATGTTGAAGGGGACACCTCTGAGTAGGTATTCCAGTGTAGCCCCAATTCTGATGCTGTGCCCATGCATTGCTTCACAGCCCACTGCTTTGGCTGCTGACTTCAACCATTGCAGGAATGTGGAGCATGTGAGTGGTTTGTGTTTGTGGCTCTCTTTGTAAGCAAATAGGGGACCATCAATGGGAGGGGAGTTTGTTTGCAGATGAGCTTTGAAGGCTGCTTGTGGGTCTGAAGTACCATTCTGTAGGCAGGGGTATTCTGTATGGGTATTTGAGTGGAAAGGGTGATAGCAGAGTTTATGATTAAGGCATTAGAAGGAAGGAGTAGCTGTTCAGCAGCTAGTTCTGAATCACTGGATGACAGGGGGCCATACTAGATAAGCTAATACTGTGCCTGTATAGCACAACATAGGGTCACTAGACCCTCAAGCACTTAAAGCAATGAAAAAAAAACACCCAGACCTGGCTGACTTGGAACCTGGTAGTACTGGGAAACCATGTCTCCCTCCTTTGTCAATACCTCAAGACAATGGCATTGACAGGGAAAGACAAGCTGATCCCTCATGCCCTGGATGGCATCACCAGCAACATCTTGGTGCAGGACCTGGCCTTGGCATGGCCATTTGCAGAGATTGCAGCCAAGGCATGTTTCCCAGACAAGCCAGAGGTGGTGGAGCTGTATTGCAACCACATTTTTGTCAACTACAATTGCCTCTTTGACTCCAAATACCTGTCAACCATCATGAGCAAGCACAGCCTTGCCATCATGCACTTTGGGCTGACCATCAACTTGTGGCAACACATCCAAACAGCATGGAAACAAAAACTTGGCTGTGCAGTGGAGGATGTGATAGAGATGGACAGGGATGACAATGTGGAAGCCCTGCAGGCAGGCCATAGTCAGTCTACTGAAAACTAAGTGTATGGCATCAGTGTAGAAGCTCTGGCTGGAGCTGCAGAGGATATGCTACCTGCATACCTCAATGCCAGCATGGAATGGAAAAGGCACTGCCAGGTGCCAGTCAGTGGCCAGTCAGCATCATACAAGACTGCATGGACACATGTGCCATCCCCACCCCCACCTGCACCAGAGCCAAGGGAAAACAAGTGACTGGTTGCCTATTCCATGCCAATGGAGGCAATCCAAAAGGCCATGGTAGATGCAGTGGTGGCCAAACTGCCATCCACAGATGAGATTGCCACCAAGGTAATGGACAAGCTGATGCCTGCATTGAAGGGAATGTTGCAGTAGGTGCTTCGATCCACCACAGGAGGCCCATTGGAGAGGACAGATGAAGGAAAAGGGAAGGAGAGGGAGAAAGAGCAAGGGCAGAGCACCAGTCATGGTTGGTAATACCCATGTCAGATGATTGTCAGAAATTAAATCCAATCTAGCCAGGATCCAGTCTGGAATAAGCAACCAGTCACCTAACTGAGACCTCAGTGATGTTGAACTTGAGCCAAGGGATGACATACATGGTAAGAACACACAAGACATTTGCCAGTAGATGAGTCACCTAACATGGCATTTCACAGACCAGTCTACAGAACCCAGCACAAGTGGTCAGTCAGCTATTTTGGGTCAAGCCCTGCAGGTGATGCAGGGCCTGCTCAAGAACCCATCAGAAACCTGGAAATCAAAGGATCAGCTTGTAGGTTTGCAGATGTGGTGGCACCAGCTGCATATGGGATCCATCACCAAGCCACATTGGGAGAGCAAGCACAGAGAGAATTTGGGCAGAATTGGGGAGATTCCAGAGGGTTTAGCAGGTGGTTGATGGGATGACTGATGTAGGGAGCTGTATACTCCCTGAGGCTGGAACAGGAGTTGGTCACTAACTTCTGCTGGCCTTTGGACACTTTCAGGGTTCTTCCTGCTTGTAACCTTGTGTTGCCTCCCAACCCCTGTCACCTTCAGAGTTTCTCCCAACCTTCAGCATGTTGCCCAGCCATCAATGAGCTGATCTGGAAATTCTGCATTCACCCAGAGTCATCTGGAATTCAGTAGCCAAACCACCCCCAGCCATGTCACCACTCACCCATGTCAGTCACTTTTACAAAAAAACTCTGGTTACCTCTGTCACCCCAAATTCTGCAAGCCAGACTTCATGCCAGTACACTCTGCCCTCTTGTGCTTCCCCCTCCCACTGACTCCACCTTTCACTTGTACATGTAACCTCATTCTGTTGGAAGATACCCCTTACCATTGTCCCATTTTACTCTTGTCTACTACTCACTGGCCCATTTCACATGCACCTGTATTTCCTTGATGTCTGTCATCCTCTCCTTTATTTTCTGGTCTTTTAGTTTTTCTGCCCCACTTTACTCCAACCCATACCTGCTTCCCTTGTACTATATAATTCTGCCATGATGTCAGAAATAAAAAAACCACCTTTAGAGTCACTATCTGTGTGTGCTCCACAAGTTCAAGAAGTTCTCAGAGTCTAAGTGCATTTATTGAGTCTACAGTGTCTACAGCATCTCCTGTGATCCTCATGTCTCTTGCATCTTCCAACCCTGCACACCTTATTCTGTATCCCCCTCACCTCAAATATACTCTTTTTGCTGCAATTTGGCTTCTCAGAATTTCTTATACCCATCTCACTGTTCCTTGCATGTCCACAACCCCCCAGAATTAAATTCTGTAACCCTCGCACGTATTACCCCACCCCTTCTAGGGTAATCCTTGACTTCTCCTTCCATGCAGCACCCCTTGGGTTGATCCTAGGGAATTCTCCCTTCAGCTTTCCTCTAGTCACATGCTTCCCAGAAGTCATGTCCCACACCAAGGCATGGGGATCATAGCAACCTACCATTGCATTTTACCATCTCACACACCTTTGTCTCTCCAGGTTTCTATCATCCACCACCTGGTCAACATGCATGTCTGATTTTCAGTCACTTCACACTTGCCTTGTGTGATACACTGTCAGTTGCTCTGCCTTTTCCACTGGTACATTGCTCTGAGGGTTGGCATCAGACATCAGACCCCCTGGACAGGTCAGGACCTGCTTACCCCACTTGCAACTGGTAGGGGTTCCCACTCTTTACCACTACCATCATCCTGTGCAAGACAGATACATCAGTGGCTGGTCAACAGACCTTGAACTGGTACTGACCTTGGTGGTTGTCACCTTGCCTTTGCCCTTGGAAGCTTTGGGACCACACTTTCTGGTCAGAATTTCCTTGGGTGGTGGCTATTGGATCAGAATCAAAAATAGGCAACTGGTTGCTTATTTGGGCCAATAACTTACCATCTGTGCCCTAGTGGATCCTTTATGGGCCTTCTTCTGACACTGGAACAGTGTGGAACCCTGTTCATGCATCCTCATGTGTTCCAATCTTGTACAGTGTTATTCTAGCCTGATGTCTCCACCACCACTCCATGCCCACACCTTGTCCCCACTGACCAATCATCTACAGCTGTGTCCTACACCCCTGTCCTGCCTCCCCTACTCCATGTGCCCCCCTTTAAACATGACGATGTCCTTGTTGTCTGTTAGCTCACCACCCAACTCTTTCTGCATGCTGTCTGTTCTTCCCCATTTGACTTCTCCCAATGCTGCCTCTTCCTCTCTTCCAGGTGCTCACCCTTCACTGCCATCATCATTGGTGTCTGTCTCATCATCCTCTTCACTCCTTTCACCATCTGATTTGATTCCTCCATCCACATTCCTTCTCCCTTCCCTTGCTGTCCCTTCCAGTATGTCTTGTTCTGTTTCTGTGCTTTGTAGTCATGCCAGGTATTCTTGTTGATCTACATGTAGTTGTGTTCCTTCTCTTGCTATGAACATGTGTAGTCTTTGTGTGCTGAACTCCCCCAGGACCAGTCTGCCCATTAGAGTTTCTAACCCATATGAGTTTCTTAGTTGTTCAGTGATTCTGTACAGGTGCAACCACTTAGGTAATAGCTTCTGTTTAGTCTTGAAGGTATAGTCTAGGCTGCTCCTGTATACTTGTACCAGTTGTCCTCTGGTGAATGTGACTTCTGCTCCTTGTCTTTGTAGGACACAATGGTTGAATACTTTTTTTCTTTTGATGGCATGTCTGACCATTTTGTTGTACCCATCAAGCTGTTGTTGTGTTGTGTATGCCATGTGTATTGCTGCATCCACTGATGATGGCACTGTGATGCTGTGTGTCAGTGCTGTGTGTTTGGTGTTGATGACCAGTCCCAGTAGGAGTTCTTTGGGGGAGAACTTGAGCAAGGGCAGTATGTGATTGTTCAGCATGTGGACTGCATCGTCAAGGTGATCTGGTCACATTCTTGGTAGTGTTTCCCAGTTGGCTTCAGGGTTGTTGTCTTCTCCTATGTTTGGTGAACATAGTCATTTGAGGACATGTAACAACAGCTTGTTTGTACCTTCCACTAGTCCATTAATCCAAGGTGAGTATGCAGCAATGACATGGTGGGTGCAAGACTACTTAGCACAGTATGCTTTAACTGTTTTGTTGTTGAAGTGGCATCCTCTGTCTGTCATGAATGTTTCTGGCACTGTGAAACTGTTAAAGATAGTTGCTAGGCTGTTTACCATGGTTTTTGCTGTTCCAGTGGTCTTGAACTTCATTACCCAAAGGTGTTGGGAGAACATGTCCAGAAATAGTCTGAGTGTGTGGTATCCTCCTTTGCCTGTTGAGATTGACAGGTAATCACCTACCAGTAGTTCAAATGGGTGCCGTCTTGTTATCGGTTCAAGCAACATGTTTAATTTTGCTGTACTGAAGTTTTTGCACTTTGCACAATTCTGTATTGCTTTCATTATGGCAAGGTCCAGTTTGGGTGCATAGTATTTGTCTGTGAGTGCTAACTTCATCGTGTCCCTTCCCCAGTGTCCTCCTGACTCATGTTGGTGTTTTGCTTCCATGAGTGCCTCTGCTCTTGTGATGCATTCCACCTTGTGTCTCAGCGGTATGCTTGTACCACTGTTTAGCTGCCATAGTTTGCCTTGGTCTACTAGGTACTGCATTGATTTGTGTCTCACTCTGTTGCAATCTCTTATGGGGGTGTTTGTATCAACATTGAGTATTGCATCTATTACTTCCATGAACAATGGTTTGTCTTGGAAGTGTTCTCGTAGTTGCTGATTTTCCTGTGATAGTTTAGTGACCATGAATATGTTGTTCACCAAACCTGATGCCACTTCTGGGTCTGGGCTGACTGTCCAGTCACTGCTGTCTTTGTTCATACAGGCTGTATTGTCCCATTGGTGGCTTGGCCCATCCACTGCTACATTCAGGTGTCCCAGTATGTGTCTTACAGCTATTATGTTGTGCACAACTATGCCATCTCGCCACCTTGCATGTGCAGCCAATATTGAGCTGTTGGACAGGACATCTTTTAATGCTTTGCAGTCAGTTTCAATTTCTATTGGGTATCCCCAAATTATATCTGTGAAGCAGTCCAGACCATATTTTAGTGCTGTGAATTCTAACAGACACAGTTTGTAGTCTCACTCAGCTGATGAGGTTCTTTTGGACACAAATGTGATGGGTACTGTTTGCTCTACTGTTTTGCCATTCAGTGCTTGAACTTTTGTTTTTTGTGTTAGTACCACCCTGAATCCTTCTTGGCATCCATCTGTGGTTATGATGAATGGTGTACCATTGTACTGCAGTGCATGTAGTGGTGGTTGGCTTGTTAGTGCAACCTTCAACCTTAGAAAAGCTTCAGTGCATCTCTGTTCCCATTTATCTGCTAGCTTGTAATTAGTCATTGCCTTTCAGTATGTAGCTTTGGAAATGGGCTTAGGGATGTCCACTTGTTTTGTTAAGTCACATAACAGTCCTTCCACTTTGGCATATCCTTTGATGAGGTCATGGAAGTGCCCTGTGAGCCCTAGAAACAACATTAGGTTGAGTGCATCATTGGGTTGTTTCCAGTTGACGATCACTGTTAGTTTTAATAGGCCCAGCTGTACACCCTGTGGGCCTACTGTAGCCCCCACAAACATTGTTTCTGTCATGAAGAGTTGGCATTTTGTCAGCAATAGCGATAGGCTGTGTTCTCTACACCATTGTAGTATTTGCCTTAGTGTTGCTAACATTCCTTTGAATGTGTCATCGCTGCATCCCCCATCGTCTATGAAGAGTTCCAGGATGCCTTCTGCAAGTTCTTTTTCTAGGCATTGCAAGGCTGTTGCTGAGAACATTGTTGGGGCTCCAGTCCAGCCCATCACCATTCTTGTGTACCAAAAGTAGCCTCTTCCATCAACAAAGAATGTGAAGTATGGCCACCATTTACCTGGGACTTCAATCACATAGAATCCAGATGCAAAATTGAACATGGTGTGAGTCAAAGTGTGGTTCAGTGGTGAAAAACAACCAAAACCAACACAAAAGACAAAAAGAGCGAGTGGTGGTGTGCCTATGCAGTACCTAGATGGTAGAACCTGTTCTTTGGGAGGGTTTTTGCGAGCTACAACACTCAAAGATGACTGCTGAGGGTTGGGGGTGCTCCTGACAAAGAGGGAGCAGGAATGCAAGAGAATGTGACAGGGTAGACTGCTGTCAGCCTACAGAAGGATGGATGATGACTTAATTTGATGTCCTAAGCTGCACTGAGCTCAGGGAGGGCTTGGAGCAAAGTATATTGATGATAGACAAGGATAAGCAAAGTAGATGATAGTTAGACCCTTAATAAAGTCTCAACTATTGAAGCTGCTGAATGAATTACTGAGTGATGATAAAATGTGAGCAAGAGGGGCTCTCTGATGTCTTCTTTTTTTTTTTGCTATCTAAGTACAGTGATTTATATACAGTACAGGGGTGTTGCCCTTGGAAAACAAGGTGCAAACACTTGGTAAGTGATTGGTAACTGATGAGTAAGGAATGTAAGCAATGGGTAATTGTCTTGGAAAGCATTGGTAAGCACTGGTAAGGATTAGCAAGCCAAAAAGCAAAGAATCAGTAAGCAAAGTCAAAAGATTGGTAAGTATTGGCAATAGGTGAGTCAAAGACAGTCAGAACATCAAAGTATGAGTCAAGTGATGTCAGGAACTGGGAAAGCACACTGGAATTGCATTAGGGGGAGGCTGTGCATGTCACATCTCAAAGAGATCGCTTCTAGGCCAAGGTGGGATGACAGAGAGGCAGTGCTGATCTGATGCCAATATAGTACATCCAAAAGTGGACAGGGTGAGTCAGATGTCAACAGGGGTCAAGCTTTGGGGGTCTGTGGGGTGACAGGAGCATAGGGGATCACAACCTTCCCCCCCAAACCATCCTCTCAGTGAAGCAAATAAAAACCTCATGAACAAGGCTCTGTTGGAAGAGAGGATGAAGGGGGAGTGTCTTCTGCTGTATCTTGCAACAAGGAGGCAAGATGTGCATCATACTCATCATGGATGCGATCAGGGAGAGTGGGGAACAGTAGATTATACTGTAGCTGTCACAATCTTGGAAGAATGATGGATGAGACCAGTATGAAGACATTGCAGGGAGCAGGGAGGAAGGATCCATATGCTTCTTGGACTGGAGAGACTGAAATGACCACATAAGACCTTTCCAAGCGAATGACAGACCTGAGGCAACCAAAGAACATCCTCCTAGAGGTCATACTGACAAAAAGAACATGCTGTCCAAGCTGGATGGGCTGAGAGGGCACAGACAAGGGTGGGATGTACCAGGATGCTTCAGGACAGAAGCTGGTAGGAACTCCTGGTAGATATATGTAGCCATGGTCCCTAGCAAAGAGGACAAGTGAAATGACTGATGTAGAGGTGGCCATATCAGAAGAAGTTAGTGAAATGAGCATCTTTTGGAGGGAGTGCTGTAGAAATGTGTGGAGTGTGCAAATCCTTTCCAATTTTGGAAGGTAAGATCATGTGGCTGAGCACTACAAGCAAGTGTGGGAATGGTCTCTGTATCTGCAGAAATGGCAGAGATATGTCAAAAACCAGAATGCCACACATGGGTGCTTAAGAATTTTAGCCAGTGCTTAACTCGCTCCCTTTCTTTTTCTCTGGCACTGATGACTTGTTCTTGTGCAAGGGATGACTGCTGACATTTCTGGCTGTCCTTCTTTGCATTAGGGCTATGGTCTTCATCTCTGTTCATCAGCTGTATCCCTGTCCACCTCACCAAACACCTTTGGTGTGTGACACTGGGCCTGTATATTCTTCCACTAGACTCACCCCAATCACTATCTTCTCAGTTCATCATTACTAATATCCAATTCATACCATATAACATAACATAACATAACATAATGTAATGTAATGACATCTGTCATGCTTATGCTTGACACTTATTAGTTCACAAGCACCATTTAGTGCATTATATTTGACTTGTTTGCTTATTTTGTCATGATGCTGATGATCCTGTCATGCCAGCTGATTTCTAGTTCAGGGCAATCAACTCACTTAAGTCAACCCAGAAATCAAATCAGCTATATATCATCTCATCAATGTCTTTGGTGCAAGCTTTCTGCCTCTTGGACCCCCCCCCCTCTTTGCACCATCAGCTTACTGGTCACAAACATCTCCAACATGTGTCTCTATCCTGATGACTGTGAATGCAATCCAGTTCAATTGACTTTGCACCAGTGGGTCAGACAGGGTTTGGAGTACTGGGATAGGGCCAAGGAAAACAGAGAACAAGCTCTCAAGTTTCTCAAGTTTGCCCTTGCTGGCTGGGATGGGGTGGACTTGGATGACCAGTGGAATGTCACCCTCAATGTCTTACAAGGCATACAGGATATCCAGGACATCACCATCACTTGTGATTATGATTCCCTGATTGGCACAACCAAAACACTCCCTTATAGGGTTCCCTTGACAGTTTGGCCTGCCCCTTCCTTCAGGGATACTCTGACAATAAATAACCATGTGACTGCACCAGCTATCAATTCACAGGTGAGTTGCCCTTACCAATCCCAAGACCTTGAATCCCATTGCCCTAACACATCCATCTTATCTTAGGATCAAGTAGTGTATGTGCCAATGCACAAAATACCCAACCTTGCATTTGGCAAGGTTGCAAATTGCTCCATCATTCATGTCTTCTTTCCATGTATGTATCACATGTTTGACTCACCCAAGATTTCTTCAGCCAATCTCAAATTGATTTACAACTGATGCTTGCTTCCCACAATTTGATGATTCATGCCTAACCAGGCCACCCATTGGCCTCCCAGTTATAATACTGCCCTTCACACTAGTCACAACCAACAAGGATGATTCCATCTTGGCAGTTTGGACCTTCCAGCCCATCTTCTTGACTTGTTTGCCAACTCATATCTCAGTACCCTCAAAGACCTTCGACCCTACTTCAATGATGCATACTTCAGACATGAGCTTTGTGGTTGGAAAGCTGCAACTGTCCATAACTTGGATATTGCAGCAGATGACACAGATGGAGCCAATGCTGCATATGAGCAGGTCAATGCTTTGGATGATCTAACTTGTGTTCTTCATATGCCATCCATCAATCCCAGGCAGTGGCTTATTGATGTTGGTCTGGAGTTTGGCAATCCTGAGAAAGCTGTCACATGGTGACACAATGGCCATGTTGACATCATTGAGCACCTCATACCTGATCTTGAAAATGCTGCAGATGTACTTGAATGCAGCAGCCAGTATTATGAGGACCATCACATGCATCTTAAGGACACCACTGGTTTCTGCTGGACTCCCAACAGGCACTCTTGCATCATCAAATATATCCAAGCTTACACCACTGAGAAGGCTGTATCTTATCAACTCCATGATGGGATATTTTGTCCTTGAAAACCCTGTGAACTGATCTCAGTTTCCTGACTTGATTGTTTGTTGGAGGACCTTGACTGTCAGGCAAAAATTCTCTTCACTTGCACAGGTGATGGCATCACTGGGGATCCCACTCCACAGTGTGGTTGTGCCCACTTGGAAGTCAGGGTGCCCTTGAACAATGCCCAAATCACATTGGCTGACTTTCCATGATGGCTCATCAATGAAACCATGGTTCAACTTCCTGCTTGCCTCTGGTGGTAAGTGTCTTATGCCAGCATAACCATTTCTGTACCTTAACATCATTGTCAGGTATTTCAAATGGCTCTGTCTGGGTGCCATTCACAATGTCATCAACAATTTCTGCCACACACCAGCAAGGCATCGTGTATCTGAGAACTGCCTTGCTCTAGGTGCCATTGCAATCTGGATCCTCAATGGTGCTCATTGAACTCCTAATTATCATACTCTTGGCCTTGCAAAACAATCCTGTGCCCACATCTTGTTGGATGAAGATGATGACTCAGATGATCCAGATGCTGTCACAAAACCCCTCATGTATGAGGCTGGGGTGTATTTTCTGTGTGACATTGAGCAGGATTCCAACACATTCTGCTATTGCATCCCATGGGCCAAGACCTTTGATCCAGATCTAATTGCCCAAGCCTTTGAACAAGGGACAGTCGAAGAGGTCCATTGCATGCTTGGGGCAGGGGAGATTGAAACTGGCAGACATCATCCCAATATCCAGCAGACCTACTAGGAACTCAATGACAGCTGGCTCACTTTTTGTCTCCTAGATCACTCCTGCTGTAGAACCACTGCACTTCAACCCATGCCTTCTGTACTGCATGTCAGAAGGGTGGACACCCACATGGCACTGGAAATCTCTTACATTACTTTTCTTCAAGCTTTGCAGCTCTGCATACTTCTTCAACCATGCTTGAAGGGCACCAGTGTTCCATATGATGGCTCCCTGCCTGATCATGGCAAAGTGGGCAAATGTGTCCTTGTCTTCTAGGAAGTGCTTCACCAGCCTATCCCTACCTGCAAGCTGTGGATTTCTGACATCAGAAAGGAAGGAGTAGCCAACATCTTTGTTGACCAAGTCCTCTGCAATCTTGTCATAGTCTGCTCTGATGTCATGGCCCATCAGGATCCCCCATTCCCATGCCTCTACCAGCTTGACCTCTGTCCCTTCAAAGACCTTGCAGAGATCAGCAAAGTCCACCTGCTCCCCTCTGTACAACATGGTCTTCCAGGTCTTGGTGTCTGTCCACCACACTTGAGGAAGGCTCATGGTGTCCAAGGCCAGGGAAGTCACTCTGTGTTGCAGGGAATGCAGACAGGAGAAAGTATATTGGGTATTCTCCACAAAGAAGCTCTCCAGGTGTGAACAGTGCTCCTCTTCATCCTTCTGTGGGTCTGACTCCATGCAACTGTGGATCTCCATGAGAAAGGTGAGTCACATGCAGTACTCCAATCTGGCTATGATTGGGGTGACTTGATGTGGCTCTTTGAAGGCACCATCTTCACTGAGAGTCATCAGGGCAAGACACCTTTCTGTTGGATCCACAATGTCCCTGTCTCCTTGATGCTTCCATGCTGTGCTCCAGAGCTGGAACAGCAACTCATGGATGAGTGACAATGCTTCTGTGTTTTCTTGACCAATGCAAAGCACTGCCAAGAGATCTAACAGCTTGGGATTTGAACCAGAGAATGGCTCTCCACTGTACTGTTGTCTGATCAACATTGCCAGCAGAATCACCACTGGGATGATGTACTGTTTCATGGTTGACTTGTACAGGTGCTTGTGGAAGGGTGTGTTGGACAGGCCACTGGGAAGGAATAAGCAACCAGTTGCTTATCTGTGCATGCATGGCTGCTTACCTTTTCATGGCATTGGGGGAATTCAACCTTTTCCAGACAATCTCTCCTGTGTGCTCCAGCAGACTGAGGGCCTTTTGATAGTATGCTTGAACCACCTCCTTCAGTCCAAGAATGAGACCATCATCTGCCTTGGGTAACATGACCAGGCCACACTGCTGTTTGATGTTCTTGCCAGCAAGGTGTTCATGCCACTGGTTGCAACAACCAAGGGCTGACCATGTGACCATCTGGTGGTGATTGGACCACCTCTAGTGTGGGCTCCAGTTCTTTGAGCAGTGAGTCCACCAGTACCTGTCTGGCTGTTGGTTGGCTCTGCTTGTCTGCATCCTCAACCTCCCAGAATGCCTGCAATTCCCCTGAGCTTTCTTTCAAATGCTGTACCTTGCAAGCTCTCCAATGTTTTGGTCTAGTTTCCATTGGATGATCTCTGGAGTCATGTTTCTGTAGATGCTCTGTTGACCTGGACAAAAAGTCACAGTGACTGCAAGCCATGGCCTCAATGACCTTTAGACCATGGACAATGGTTCTAGGCCCAGTGATACCAGTGGGCAGCTGTTCTGTCACCTCCAGTGATGCCATGGCCAGCTTCAAGGTCATGTCACTGTAGGTTGCCTGTCTACCATGGATCTTTGCCAGATGGCTCTTGACCTCTCCTGCTCTTAATGCCATTTCACAGACATGGCATGTCAGGAAGTGGAACTCTCCATACTGCAGCAATCACACAGCTGATAGCTGATCTGTGCCACCAGGCAACAGTGGAACCCCTCCATCTTCACAGCTAGATCAGGGAGGGTGAATGGCAAGTATGTGGGCAGCCATACCACTGGACCCATTGCCATGGGCCCTGGCTTGACATGTGACTGGTTGCTTGTCCATTGCTGGTGCATGGGGCATTAGTAGAAATGGGAAAAATATTGCATGATTGGACAATATGGTCATCAGAGGATTACACAAGCAGCCAAGCAGCATATGAACACTAGCAGATGGTCAGGCATGTGAGTTTTGCCACTCAACTTGCACTGTCATGACACATAAAGTACATTGTGGTCATGATGCTCATCACCAGTTTCTGCTCCTTGCATCATATCTCTTTGTCCCTCTCTTCAAGAAGGACACCAACTCTGGTCAGAAGCATCAACCAAAATGCTGGTGTATCAAGATAAGTGACCAGTCACTTATGACCATGGGGCATACCAACAACTGTGAGGTGCACACATGAGCCAGTCCAACTCTGGACAGGTATGACAACCAAAATGCCAGTGTACATACCCAAGATAAGCAACCAGTCACCTATTTTTTTTTGTGGGGCATGCCCACAACCATTGGGTGCACACCCAAGCCAGCATGGCTTACTTAATTGATTACATAAGCAATAAATAGCACCACTTTCACATAGTTCATTGATTGATTATTTAATGTCCAAATATGGAAGTCACAGCATTATATAATCAACAAACAAGTATATACCAAGGTCAGATTGGTGGCTGTGTAACTTTTGCATCTTGAACTTGAACCACCACCTACTGCATTTGGATTAAGTACAAACAGATACAAATAACAAAATCATGTCCAGCACCAACCAAAATCAGACCAAGGTAAGTCAAAGTCATTGGAAAAATAAGTGACTGGTTGCTTATTTCTCTCCCCTGCCTGCATCCAACAACAACAACAGCAAGTCTGGCAAAAGGACTGCTGTGCCCCAGGTAAGTTGTGGCATACCTCATCTCCAGGAAACCACACTGACTTGCATGTGTATCATGTCATGTCACAACTTTCCCAGCCCCCCAGACCCACTGTAAGTGACATGGAACCTCTGACAAGCAACCAGTTGCTTATTTTGACCATCTTTTCAGGGTGTTTCCACTGGAACAGATGTGGCTGCAGCCATCAATCTCTCACATGCCCAGTCTACTGCTGCCCACAAAAGGTTAGCAGCAAGGAAGGCAACAAAGGTGAGTTTTTTTTCTCTCTCTCACCTCCCACAAGCAACCAGTCACTTATTCTTGTCAACACCCATAGGCAACTGCACCTGAGGGTGAAGAAGGGGGAGAGATGGATGTCAAACAGGTAAGTTCACATCACCCATAAACAAGTGACAAGTTGCCTATTCTTGTTGACACCTCATAGGTGACTGCACCCAAGGGTGAAGAAGGGGGAGAGATGGATGTCAAACATGTAAGTTCACATCACCCATAAACAAGCAACCAGTCACTTATTCTTGTCAACACCTCATAGGTGACTGCTCCTGAGGGTGAAGAGGGGGGAAAGATGGTTGTCAAACAGGTAAGGTGGCATCATCCAAAAATAAGCAACTGGTCACTTATCATTTCTGACCATTGCAGAAGAGTGGTGGCAAGAAGAGCCCCAAGAAAAATTCTAAGGTAGGTTATGGTCCACATGAGGCATGTACGTGTCACTAACAACTGATATCAATGTAGAAACATGGACACCAGGATGAAGTGGAAGAGACTGCAGGAATGGAAACTGGAGGGGTCTCAGAGGCAGTGGTAAAGCACTCACTGTTGACTTGGATTCCATGGTGATTGCTGACATGACATGATTTCAAGTCACAGAGCAAGTGTTGGAGTAGGGGAGGCAGGACAGGGGTGTAGGACACAGCTGTAGATGATTGGTCAGTGGGGACAAGGTGTGGGCACAGAGTGGCAGTAGAGATGTCAGGCTAGAATAACACTGTACAAGATCAGAACACATGAGGATGCATGAACAGGATTCCACACTGTTCCACATGGTGAAGAGAGTGGATTCAACCCAAGCACCATAACACCGCACTGCAACACTGCACCACAACACCATACCATAACACTGCACCACAATACCACACAAAAACAGCAACAAACTACCATGAAATGAATGCAAGGCAACCACACAGAGCACATGTGTAGAAGAATACAAAAGAATGAGCTAAGTAACAAGTTTAGAAACAACCACCACACTGCTACCAATCTGCCTAACAGAAACCAACCATGCAATGCACAGGGTCACTTCATGACTTTGCACATGCCTGATGTATCACCAGTGACTACTTGCTTCCATTGGTCCCACAGACACTGGAAAACACACTGTCATCACCCCAGGAACAAGCCTCAACCTGCAGAATTCCTCCAACCAGAACAAACTCCCCAGAGTACCCAGGAGAGGATGACTCCTACACAGTGTTCCCCACACTACCACTACAAACCCCACTGACTTTGTCAGCAACAATAATCTGCCAAAGGGAGAGAGCACTCTCAGTCCAAGCCCTACCACCACCATACACACCAACAACACTCCCAACCCTGTCACCAGCAGTACCCCCACCCTCATTACCCCCACCAGTCCCACAGCCAACACCATCAACAGGATGCCCAAGAGTGATGGCAGAAGCAGTTCCCCTCTTCTATGGAGACCACACAGAGGCAGAAAACCCAAGCAACTTCATCAAAGCATTCAACTGCAGCATGCTATTCCTCAACCCACTCTCAACTGACACACAGAAGATCAAAGCACTAGCCAACTACCTCAGAACAGGCTCACCAGCCAAGCATTGGTATGAGGACCTCATGACAACACAGTTAGCCAGCTGGGATGAGCTGACTAAGGTGTTCAACAACAGATGGCCCACACTGAAGAGCACATCCCAAACATCAGAGGAATACCAAATGGAACTACTGTCACACAAAATGCTCAAAGAAGACATTGGAATAATCCAGACAGTGGGCCAGCAGAAGGTATGGTCACATGTAAGGTGGGTGGATGAGGCCATGGAGCTCACAAGACTAGCAAAGATTGAGGGAGGGTCCACATTAATATGGCAGGTCAAGAACCAGCTCCCACAAGCAATCAGGAAACTACTAGATGATGAATACATGAATTGGAAAATGTTCATGGACAATGTCAAGAAGCTGAATACATTGAAGCTGAAACAGGAATGTGAGGAGATAGAAGAGAGAAAGAAGAGAGAGGAGGAGTGAGAGCAGAAGCTACTACAGAAGCTGGAAGCAGTGAAAAGAGCAACAATGGCAGACATCACAGCACAACTCCAACACCTCACAATCAGGCAGGTTGCAGTGCCCTGTACTGTGCCAAGAACCTCGCCCTCAACAACATCCCCCAGCTCATGATTCACACTACAGCAGATACCAAGATGCAACATGCAGTATGCCCTGCCAACAGAAGAACTAAAGGAAACAGTATGGAAGGGACTGGAGCAGCTTCTGCACCACCCTGATGACAAAGAGGGCCAGAGGAGGTACCTGTCCCAACTGGCATCATGGACCATGAAGCACAGAGAAACTGTGCAAGTTACAGAACACACACCATACCCCCTTAAACCAGGAACCACAATGATATGCTCCAGAGAATGTTTCAGGTGTGGAACATACAGACATGGAAGTAGGGACTGCCTGGTGCTAGAAGGAGATTCATCCAGGTTAAACTGCAATGAAACAGCATGGAGAGCACTATGTAACAGGGTCCTGGGTCTGTTCAATAGGAGCACCATGTACAGTATCAGAATTGTAGCACTAGACAACCAGAGAAATGAGACAGGGTCGTTGTGATGGACAGCACACTGACCCAGGTCCTCAACACATCTACTACAATAACACCAGCTTTGCCTGTACATCATATCAAGCCAGCAACCATCAATCTATACTCTGCAGCAGTACATGAAGGAAGAAGCAATGTAGCAGATAAAACAAGTCAACCTGTCCCATTCATACACCCAGTCATGCTAAAAAATGAGGATGGCACAGGAACAACAGTACAAGCATTGTTTGATGATGGTGCCATGACAGGAGCCATGTCATCAAGCACATTCAATGCAGTCAAACACATGCTAAAAGAATGGAGACCATTGTCACAAATCCTACACATGGCAAATGGAATCATCATTCCATCAGAGGCCATGTGGACAGGCACAATAAACATAAAAAACACAAAGGTAATGGGAACCTTCAAGGTCTTTGACAGTGCAGGGGGCTGGTCATTCCTATTTGGGAAACCACTACTACAAGCCTTCAAAGCAATACATGACTATGCAACAGATGAGGTAACAGTCACAGACAGCAACACCATGGCAGTACTACGAAACCACTTTGTCAACACAACATGACCACAAAGAGAGACAGAATGCAACAATTTAACACAAGAGGAGATAAAGACAGAAAGTGGAACTAATGTGTTCACCAGGAAAACAAACCCATTCACACCTGAGCACATTGAATACATTGTCAGACATGTCAAGATCAGCAATGATCTAACACCAAACAAACAGAAAGAGGTCATAGAACTACTAACCAAATTCACAGATGTATTTGCATGCTCCATCAGTGAAGTACTACCAATCCCCAGAGCACAAGTCGACTTGAACCTACCAGACAATGTGTTGTTCAACACCATAGTATGCCAATGACCAATGAACCCCCCACAACAGCAGTTCATGAACAAATGGGTTGACCAAATGCTCGAGGCCAGGCTAATTGAACACATGAACATCCCCCAGATCAAACATGTCACACCCACAGTTCTTGCACAGAAAACCCATGATGCCACAGAGGGCATGACACTTGACAACATACAACAAGAACTGAACCAACAATGCATGGAAGCAAACATACCACAACCATTCAAAGAACAAATGAACACACAGGAAAAAGAGCAAGCTGCACTGAAAGAAATGGGAGAAGCACCAAAATGGAGGGTAACACAAAACTTCACAGAACTAAACAAGGCTTCACAAATACCACCAATGTTCCAAGGAGACATTAGAGCAGAACAACAGCAACTGAGTGGTCACAGGTACATGTCCATTGTCACACACCAAAGGTGTTTGGTGAGGTGGACAGGGATACAGCTGATGAACAGAGATGAAGACCATAGCCCTAATGCAAAGAAGGACAGCCAGAAATGTCAGCAGTCATCCCTTGCACAAGAACAAGTCATCAGTGCCAGAGAAAAAGAAAGGGAGCGAGTTAAGCACTGGCTAAAATTCTTAAGCACCCATGTGTGGCATTCTGGTTTTTGACATATCTCTGCCATTTCTGCAGATACAGAGACCATTCCCACACTTGCTTGTAGTGCTCAGCCACATGATCTTACCTTCCAAAATTGGAAAGGATTTGCACACTCCACACATTTCTACAGCACTCCCTCCAAAAGATGCTCATTTCACTAACTTCTTCTGATATGGCCACCTCTACATCAGTCATTTCACTTGTCCTCTTTGCTAGGGACCATGGCTACATATATCTACCAGGAGTTCCTACCAGCTTCTGTCCTGAAGCATCCTGGTACATCCCACCCTTGTCTGTGCCCTCTCAGCCCATCCAGCTTGGACAGCATGTTCTTTTTGTCAGTATGACCTCTAGGAGGATGTTCTTTGGTTGCCTCAGGTCTGTCATTCGCTTGGAAAGGTCTTATGTGGTCATTTCAGTCTCTCCAGTCCAAGAAGCATATGGATCCTTCCTCCCTGCTCCCTGCAATGTCTTCATACTGGTCTCATCCATCATTCTTCCAAGATTGTGACAGCTACAGTATAATCTACTGTTCCCCACTCTCCCTGATCGCATCCATGATGAGTATGATGCACATCTTGCCTCCTTGTTGCAAGATACAGCAGAAGACACTCCCCCTTCATCCTCTCTTCCAACAGAGCCTTGTTCATGAGGTTTTTATTTGCTTCACTGAGAGGATGGTTTGGGGGGGAAGGTTGTGATCCCCTATGCTCCTGTCACCCCACAGACCCCCAAAGCTTGACCCCTGTTGACATCTGACTCACCCTGTCCACTTTTGGATGTACTATATTGGCATCAGATCAGCACTGCCTCTCTGTCATCCCACCTTGGCCTAGAAGCGATCTCTTTGAGATGTGACATGCACAGCCTCCCCCTAATGCAATTCCAGTGTGCTTTCCCAGTTCCTGACATCACTTGACTCATACTTTGATGTTCTGACTGTCTTTGACTCACCTATTGCCAATACTTACCAATCTTTTGACTTTGCTTACTGATTCTTTGCTTTTTGGCTTGCTAATCCTTACCAGTGCTTACCAATGCTTTCCAAGACAATTACCCATTGCTTACATTCCTTACTCATCAGTTACCAATCACTTACCAAGTGTTTGCACCTTGTTTTCCAAGGGCAACACCCCTGTACTGTATATAAATCACTGTACTTAGATAGCAAAAAAAAAAAGAAGACATCAGAGAGCCCCTCTTGCTCACATTTTATCATCACTCAGTAATTCATTCAGCAGCTTCAATAGTTGAGACTTTATTAAGGGTCTAACTATCATCTACTTTGCTTATCCTTGTCTATCATCAATATACTTTGCTCCAAGCCCTCCCTGAGCTCAGTGCAGCTTAGGACATCAAATTAAGTCATCATCCATCCTTCTGTAGGCTGACAGCAGTCTACCCTGTCACATTCTCTTGCATTCCTGCTCCCTCTTTGTCAGGAGCACCCCCAACCCTCAGCAGTCATCTTTGAGTGTTGTAGCTCGCAAAAACCCTCCCAAAGAACAGGTTCTACCATCTAGGTACTGCATAGGCACACCACCACTCGCTCTTTTTGTCTTTTGTGTTGGTTTTGGTTGTTTTTCACCACTGAACCACACTTTGACTCACACCATGTTCAATTTTGCATCTGGATTCTATGTGATTGAAGTCCCAGGTAAATGGTGGCCATACTTCACATTCTTTGTTGATGGAAGAGGCTACTTTTGGTACACAAGAATGGTGATGGGCTGGACTGGAGCCCCAACAATGTTCTCAGCAACAGCCTTGCAATGCCTAGAAAAAGAACTTGCAGAAGGCATCCTGGAACTCTTCATAGACGATGGGGGATGCAGCGATGACACATTCAAAGGAATGTTAGCAACACTAAGGCAAATACTACAATGGTGTAGAGAACACAGCCTATCGCTATTGCTGACAAAATGCCAACTCTTCATGACAGAAACAATGTTTGTGGGGGCTACAGTAGGCCCACAGGGTGTACAGCTGGGCCTATTAAAACTAACAGTGATCGTCAACTGGAAACAACCCAATGATGCACTCAACCTAATGTTGTTTCTAGGGCTCACAGGGCACTTCCATGACCTCATCAAAGGATATGCCAAAGTGGAAGGACTGTTATGTGACTTAACAAAACAAGTGGACATCCCTAAGCCCATTTCCAAAGCTACATACTGAAAGGCAATGACTAATTACAAGCTAGCAGATAAATGGGAACAGAGATGCACTGAAGCTTTTCTAAGGTTGAAGGTTGCACTAACAAGCCAACCACCACTACATGCACTGCAGTACAATGGTACACCATTCATCATAACCACAGATGGATGCCAAGAAGGATTCAGGGTGGTACTAACACAAAAAACAAAAGTTCAAGCACTGAATGGCAAAACAGTAGAGCAAACAGTACCCATCACATTTGTGTCCAAAAGAACCTCATCAGCTGAGTGAGACTACAAACTGTGTCTGTTAGAATTCACAGCACTAAAATATGGTCTGGACTGCTTCACAGATATAATTTGGGGATACCCAATAGAAATTGAAACTGACTGCAAAGCATTAAAAGATGTCCTGTCCAACAGCTCAATATTGGCTGCACATGCAAGGTGGCGAGATGGCATAGTTGTGCACAACATAATAGCTGTAAGACACATACTGGGACACCTGAATGTAGCAGTGGATGGGCCAAGCCACCAATGGGACAATACAGCCTGTATGAACAAAGACAGCAGTGACTGGACAGTCAGCCCAGACCCAGAAGTGGCATCAGGTTTGGTGAACAACATATTCATGGTCACTAAACTATCACAGGAAAATCAGCAACTACGAGAACACTTCCAAGACAAACCATTGTTCATGGAAGTAATAGATGCAATACTCAATGTTGATACAAACACCCCCATAAGAGATTGCAACAGAGTGAGACACAAATCAATGCAGTACCTAGTAGACCAAGGCAAACTATGGCAGCTAAACAGTGGTACAAGCATACCGCTGAGACACAAGGTGGAATGCATCACAAGAGCAGAGGCACTCATGGAAGCAAAACACCAACATGAGTCAGGAGGACACTGGGGAAGGGACACGATGAAGTTAGCACTCACAGACAAATACTATGCACCCAAACTGGACCTTGCCATAATGAAAGCAATACAGAATTGTGCAAAGTGCAAAAACTTCAGTACAGCAAAATTAAACATGTTGCTTGAACCGATAACAAGACGGCACCCATTTGAACTACTGGTAGGTGATTACCTGTCAATCTCAACAGGCAAAGGAGGATACCACACACTCAGACTATTTCTGGACATGTTCTCCCAACACCTTTGGGTAATGAAGTTCAAGACCACTGGAACAGCAAAAACCATGGTAAACAGCCTAGCAACTATCTTTAACAGTTTCACAGTGCCAGAAACATTCATGACAGACAGAGGATGCCACTTCAACAACAAAACAGTTAAAGCATACTGTGCTAAGTAGTCTTGCACCCACCATGTCATTGCTGCATACTCACCTTGGATTAATGGACTAGTGGAAGGTACAAACAAGCTGTTGTTACATGTCCTCAAATGACTATGTTCACCAAACATAGGAGAAGACAACAACCCTGAAGCCAACTGGGAAACACTACCAAGAATGTGACCAGATCACCTTGACGATGCAGTCCACATGCTGAACAATCACATACTGCCCTTGCTCAAGTTCTCCCCCAAAGAACTCCTACTGGGACTGGTCATCAACACCAAACACACAGCACTGACACACAGCATCACAGTGCCATCATCAGTGGATGCAGCAATACACATGGCATACACAACACAACAACAGCTTGATGGGTACAACAAAATGGTCAGACATGCCATCAAAAGAAAAAAAGTATTCAACCATTGTGTCCTACAAAGACAAGGAGCAGAAGTCACATTCACCAGAGGACAACTGGTACAAGTATACAGGAGCAGCCTAGACTATACCTTCAAGACCAAACAGAAGCTATTACCTAAGTGGTTGCACCTGTACAGAATCACTGAACAACTAAGAAACTCATATGGGTTAGAAACTCTAATGGGCAGACTGGTCCTGGGGGAGTTCAGCACACAAAGACTACACATGTTCATAGCAAGAGAAGGAACACAACTACATGTAGATCAACAAGAATACCTGGCATGACTACAAAGCACAGAAACAGAACAAGACATACTGGAAGGGACAGCAAGGGAAGGGAGAAGGAATGTGGATGGAGGAATCAAATCAGATGGTGAAAGGAGTGAAGAGGATGATGAGACAGACACCAATGATGATGGCAGTGAAGGGTGAGCACCTGGAAGAGAGGAAGAGGCAGCATTGGGAGAAGTCAAATGGGGAAGAACAGACAGCATGCAGAAAGAGTTGGGTGGTGAGCTAACAGACAACAAGGACATCGTCATGTTTAAAGGGGGGCACATGGAGTAGGGGAGGCAGGACAGGGGTGTAGGACACAGCTGTAGATGATTGGTCAGTGGGGACAAGGTGTGGGCATGGAGTGGTGGTGGAGACATCAGGCTAGAATAACACTGTACAAGATTGGAACACATGAGGATGCATGAACAGGGTTCCACACTGTTCCAGTGTCAGAAGAAGGCCCATAAAGGATCCACTAGGGCACAGATGGTAAGTTATTGGCCCAAATAAGCAACCAGTTGCCTATTTTTGATTCTGATCCAATAGCCACCACCCAAGGAAATTCTGACCAGAAAGTGTGGTCCCAAAGCTTCCAAGGGCAAAGGCAAGGTGACAACCACCAAGGTCAGTACCAGTTCAAGGTCTGTTGACCAGCCACTGATGTATCTGTCTTGCACAGGATGATGGTAGTGGTAAAGAGTGGGAACCCCTACCAGTTGCAAGTGGGGTAAGCAGGTCCTGACCTGTCCAGGGGGTCTGATGTCTGATGCCAACCCTCAGAGCAATGTACCAGTGGAAAAGGCAGAGCAACTGACAGTGTATCACACAAGGCAAGTGTGAAGTGACTGAAAATCAGACATGCATGTTGACCAGGTGGTGGATGATAGAAACCTGGAGAGACAAAGGTGTGTGAGATGGTAAAATGCAATGGTAGGTTGCTATGATCCCCATGCCTTGGTGTGGGACATGACTTCTGGGAAGCATGTGACTAGAGGAAAGCTGAAGGGAGAATTCCCTAGGATCAACCCAAGGGGTGCTGCATGGAAGGAGAAGTCAAGGATTACCCTAGAAGGGGTGGGGTAATACGTGCGAGGGTTACAGAATTTAATTCTGGGGGGTTGTGGACATGCAAGGAACAGTGAGATGGGTATAAGAAATTCTGAGAAGCCAAATTGCAGCAAAAAGAGTATATTTGAGGTGAGGGGGATACAGAATAAGGTGTGCAGGGTTGGAAGATGCAAGAGACATGAGGATCACAGGAGATGCTGTAGACACTGTAGACTCAATAAATGCACTTAGACTCTGAGAACTTCTTGAACTTGTGGAGCACACACAGATAGTGACTCTAAAGGTGGTTTTTTTTATTTCTGACATCATGGCAGAATTATATAGTACAAGGGAAGCAGGTATGGGTTGGAGTAAAGTGGGGCAGAAAAACTAAAAGACCAGAAAATAAAGGAGAGGATGACAGACATCAAGGAAATACAGGTGCATGTGAAATGGGCCAGTGAGTAGTAGACAAGAGTAAAATGGGACAATGGTAAGGGGTATCTTCCAACAGAATGAGGTTACATGTACAAGTGAAAGGTGGAGTCAGTGGGAGGGGGAAGCACAAGAGGGCAGAGTGTACTGGCATGAAGTCTGGCTTGCAGAATTTGGGGTGACAGAGGTAACCAGAGTTTTTTTGTAAAAGTGACTGACATGGGTGAGTGGTGACATGGCTGGGGGTGGTTTGGCTACTGAATTCCAGATGACTCTGGGTGAATGCAGAATTTCCAGATCAGCTCATTGATGGCTGGGCAACATGCTGAAGGTTGGGAGAAACTCTGAAGGTGACAGGGGTTGGGAGGCAACACAAGGTTACAAGCAGGAAGAACCCTGAAAGTGTCCAAAGGCCAGCAGAAGTTAGTGACCAACTCCTGTTCCAGCCTCAGGGAGTATACAGCTCCCTACATCAGTCATCCCATCAACCACCTGCTAAACCCTCTGGAATCTCCCCAATTCTGCCCAAATTCTCTCTGTGCTTGCTCTCCCAATGTGGCTTGGTGATGGATCCCATATGCAGCTGGTGCCACCACATCTGCAAACCTACAAGCTGATCCTTTGATTTCCAGGTTTCTGATGGGTTCTTGAGCAGGCCCTGCATCACCTGCAGGGCTTGACCCAAAATAGCTGACTGACCACTTGTGCTGGGTTCTGTAGACTGGTCTGTGAAATGCCATGTTAGGTGACTCATCTACTGGCAAATGTCTTGTGTGTTCTTACCATGTATGTCATCCCTTGGCTCAAGTTCAACATCACTGAGGTCTCAGTTAGGTGACTGGTTGCTTATTCCAGACTGGATCCTGGCTAGATTGGATTTAATTTCTGACAATCATCTGACATGGGTATTACCAACCATGACTGGTGCTCTGCCCTTGCTCTTTCTCCCTCTCCTTCCCTTTTCCTTCATCTGTCCTCTCCAATGGGCCTCCTGTGGTGGATCGAAGCACCTACTGCAACATTCCCTTCAATGCAGGCATCAGCTTGTCCATTACCTTGGTGGCAATCTCATCTGTGGATGGCAGTTTGGCCACCACTGCATCTACCATGGCCTTTTGGATTGCCTCCATTGGCATGGAATAGGCAACCAGTCACTTGTTTTCCCCTTGGCTCTGGTGCAGGTGGGGGTGGGGATGGCACATGTGTCCATGCAGTCTTGTATGATGCTGACTGGCCACTGACTGGCACCTGGCAGTGCCTTTTCCATTCCATGCTGGCATTGAGGTATGCAGGTAGCATATCCTCTGCAGCTCCAGCCAGAGCTTCTACACTGATGCCATACACTTAGTTTTCAGTAGACTGACTATGGCCTGCCTGCAGGGCTTCCACATTGTCATCCCTGTCCATCTCTATCACATCCTCCACTGCACAGCCAAGTTTTTGTTTCCATGCTGTTTGGATGTGTTGCCACAAGTTGATGGTCAGCCCAAAGTGCATGATGGCAAGGCTGTGCTTGCTCATGATGGTTGACAGGTATTTGGAGTCAAAGAGGCAATTGTAGTTGACAAAAATGTGGTTGCAATACAGCTCCACCACCTCTGGCTTGTATGGGAAACATGCCTTGGCTGCAATCTCTGCAAATGGCCATGCCAAGGCCAGGTCCTGCACCAAGATGTTGCTGGTGATGCCATCCAGGGCATGAGGGATCAGCTTGTCTTTCCCTGTCAATGCCATTGTCTTGAGGTATTGACAAAGGAGGGAGACATGGTTTCCCAGTACTACCAGGTTCCAAGTCAGCCAGGTCTGGGTGTTTTTTTTTTCATTGCTTTAAGTGCTTGAGGGTCTAGTGACCCTATGTTGTGCTATACAGGCACAGTATTAGCTTATCTAGTATGGCCCCCTGTCATCCAGTGATTCAGAACTAGCTGCTGAACAGCTACTCCTTCCTTCTAATGCCTTAATCATAAACTCTGCTATCACCCTTTCCACTCAAATACCCATACAGAATACCCCTGCCTACAGAATGGTACTTCAGACCCACAAGCAGCCTTCAAAGCTCATCTGCAAACAACTCCCCTCCCATTGATGGTCCCCTATTTGCTTACAAAGAGAGCCACAAACACAAACCACTCACATGCTCCACATTCCTGCAATGGTTGAAGTCAGCAGCCAAAGCAGTGGGCTGTGAAGCAATGCATGGGCACAGCATCAGAATTGGGGCTACACTGGAATACCTACTCAGAGGTGTCCCCTTCAACATGATGAAAGTCAAAGGAAGATGGGCAAGTGATGTGTCTCAACTCTACCTATGCAAGCACAATCAGATCCTAGCCCCATACATACAAGCCATGCCCCCCAGCACCACATCAGAATTCACATGGCCAGTGATGCCCCCCTGTCCAACCATGAACCAAGCATGCCCCATGAGCTACCCTCCTACCAGCTGGGCATTCAACTGTCAGATTGGCATGTCAGGCAACCAACAGCCAATCGGATCTGCAGCTGATGCTCTTCTGCCAACTTCATAGTCCCATGGCTGGAAAGTGCTGCACACTTTTGCCCATTCAGTGTAGACTCAATACCCACTCATGCATGTAGCTACTGCATCCCACACAATGCATTAGATCACTTACCACCCTCACCCCTTGAGCATGAACAAACTGCAAAGATTGAGATTCTATCATGTAAGGAGGCACAACATAGTGATAGAATAATGTCTTTGTGGGAATGGCCAAAGCGAGGCATTGTCTCTTGCTCTTGATGCCAATGGCCATCCCAGTCACTTGTCAGGATTTGCAGCTCCTTACACTCCTTTTTCACCCTCACTCCACTCCCTTGTTGGTCACCTTTGAGTTAGCAAACCACAGGATGACCTCCTCATCTTCTGCACTGACATGCTCACCCTCATCTGCCATGGACTGCAGGAGCCTCCAACAAGCATCATGTGCTCAGCCAGACTCCCACCCACCCCCACAGCTGATGCTCTTCCACCAGCTTCATAGTCCCACAGCCAGAAAGTGCTGTGCACTTTCACCCATTCAGCATAGACTCAATACCCACTCATGCATGTGGCTACTACATCCCACACAATACATTAGATCACTTACCACCCTCACCCCTTGAGTGCAAATGAACTGCAAAGATGAAAGTACTGGATACTTGAAATGATACAGTGATCTCTTGGCAATGCTGTTGAGCAGAACATGTTGAAGGCTTCTTCCCATGTCTTGCTGGGATCTTTCAGATCAATTTGGAGGTTTCTCCATGGCTGTAGTAGCATGAGCATGGATGCATAATAGAATGACTGCTGATCTTTGTCATCGCATGATGGGAAATATTGTCCAATGAAGTTAGGGAGGGTATTGTGATGTGGGCTCTGCATGATACAATATTTGCTCTTGTATTTTGGATGAGATTTGAGATATTAGACACATTTATGAAGTGGCTTTCCCTGATGCCATTTTGGACCTCATATTAAATCAGTTTGATCATCTGTCACTGATGCAGCAACTTTCTCCCATTGGTGTGAACCCTTATCAATGTTGGCCTCATATGTGTTGACAAAAAAGTCCATGATATTTGACATCAACAGTGCTTCTCCATGGAGGGTGTAGTCAACAACTTCAACTTGTGACTTCACAAACAACCTCCCATTGCCATTTACATCCAGGGTCAACGTTTCACTGCCTGTCTGCTTTCACCTTCAGTCAAACTTTATGATGCCTTGACACTTTTACTCACCTCATCCCTGTTGTCAACCATGCCAGTAGCTTGTTTCTCTGATGCTTCTGCATCTTCCCTTGCTTCAATCTCATTGCTAATCATGTTCCACAAACTGTAAGGTGGTTGTAATTCTCTTATCAAAACAATCTTCTCACCTTGATCCAGCACAATGCTCCTCAAAACTATTTGAGAATTGACATTGACAAAGCTCCAGAAATGCTTCCAACATCACAGTCACAAATGATTTCCAGTAAATAGGTGCATAACAATGTGAACAGTATGAGTCCTTCCACCCCATGGGATAAGAGACCACCATTGGGGCTGACAGTTCTTGCTTGGAATTTATTGCATGCACCAGATGAAATAGTAGCTTTTGTTGTTGATCATGGATTCCATCAGTATATGATATATGTGGTCTGTTTGGAATGGTAAGAGAAGCCTTTTGTCATGATTGCTGACAGATTGTAGCTTTGCCCTTGTTGCTTGGTTGAATAAGCTGTGATGTAGAAGGAGATATTGGTCATCTCCTTTGAATTGGTAAGTAGTTTTATGTCATTATTACAATGAGCATTGACAGTGATTCTGGGTACCCAGGAATTCATAAATTCATATAGCCATTTCATCCCCCAATGCCCATCCTCATTGACAAAGTCATTGTCAGCTGTGTTGAATGGTGCACACTGTTTGCAGACCCATTGTACTGTTTTGTCCATGACAAGACACTGGCACACCTTGCAAGTATGGGGCTGTTGATTACAGGCTACCTTCTGTTCAAGGTCCATGATCTCTGAGTCATAGTTGGATGATTGGGGATTAGGAGGGTGTGAATATGCAACTTCTGCATCATTTGGGATTTCTTTCAGCTCCTCCACTGACTCGAAACCTGGCATATATGCATGTATGTTTGCTTGATGAAGTGTTGTATCTGTTGATGGAAAACTTCATCATTCAGTAACTCCTCCATCTGGCCACTGACAAGTGTATTCCTGAGCCACACCAATAGGTGTAGGTGGAGACTACCCCTTCCCTGGGACTCAACAAGTCCAAAATAGCCTGTGACCTCTCCAAATACCCCCATGTGGCTATGGACACATTGCATTGTGGCTTTGATTCCAAATAGTTTGCTAAGTACTGTTTGAATGAGAAAATGGAAGAACCCCAAGGCAGCATATGGATCAAGTGCCATATTTTCTGCATGTTTCTCCTTTGATGGCCCTAATTTCTCCCATAGATTGTCAAGGTTGATATCCTCACCAGCAAAGACCTGTGTGATGGGATCATGTAGGTTGCAAGGGTTGATGGTGATCCATAGTGGTGGTGGGTTCAGCATAATTGATGTTGACCAAATCTGACTACAGAGTTGAAAGTGAGAGTAGTCTCATCCAACAACATGTGTGCCAGTGGCATACACATGTTTTCACAGTAGCTGGATCAATGGATTGGAGACAGGGATGTTCTTCTCTTCAGCTTCCTGCACTTTCTGTAACCTCTCAAGCATGAGAGTTGACAGCAACCATGCATCCTTATCAAACATCTTGTGGCTCATTTGTAGACAGGCAGATGATAACACTTGGCAACATTGTGTTATTGCAAATGCAACAAAGGAGAATGTTGGATGCCTCTGAAAACAACAATCATGGTAATGTAGTGCCCACTGGATGTGTTCATTGAAATCCACAGTAATTTAGTCTCCCTCTATGCCACCTTCTCCATAGGGAAAAAGCCCAGGAAATGCTCTTGCAAAGAAATTGATATGTTTCACTGTGTATGGCTTGTCTGCAGCATGTGGTCAGCCAAAATCATTAACAGGTTGATGCCCATGCCAAACAGAATAACCTCCTTCTCTACCCTCTTTCCACAGGTTCAAAAGTCCCCATGTCATCAGCTCACTTGCTGTGAGCTTTGACATGTCTGTATCAACACCACCAGTGACTTGTAATGGTATAACATCTGGTCCTGCTTGACATTGTGAGGTTTTTTTTCTCATCACTGTATGACCATCCATGTACTGACCACCATTGTCAGATTCATTAACAACCACATTGTCTGTAGTATTTGATGGCACTCCTGTCATGGAATTATGAAGTTCTGACATAGGGCAAGCTTTGGTACTACTGACCTTCATCATTGTCCTGTGGCACTGTCAAGTCTGGGCCTACTCTGACCAACTCCAATGCTAGACAAGGTCTGGGGAGAGGTTTGGAAGCAAGTATGACAGAAAAGAGCTGAACTCTGACTGGTGGAGTGTCAGCAGGAACAAAGTCTGCCAAGACAAAGGTGGAGTGGAGTGAGGGCATTTGGTGTAGCTCATGCACTACCCCCTTGCATGTCTTAGCCCTTGTATTTCAGAGGGAGAGTATAGATGGAAAGTCAGCAGTAACTCTGACAGGCAGAAGATGGAGACAGAGGGAGTAGGAACTAAGTTGATATTTGTACTGAAGAACATCAGAGTACAATACATGCTTTTATACTACTATGGAGGTACAGTAACTGGAATCAGAACTGACATACAGAGACTCATAAATTTTCAAGTGAAACTTCCTAGATGATGAAGAGTGAAGGGTAGACAGAGGACATACAAACACATAACATAGAACATCCCAAAAAGGAAACAGTCCAGGTGCTGGACCATGTGGCATGCATGCTGCAGAGTACCTGACTGTGTGCTGTCAGGGAGAAGTCTGAAGGGTAGTCACATGACTCCTCAGAGAACAGTCTGTGCAGTCTGGTAGGAGCACAGTACAAGTCTGACAGCAGTCAGAGTGGAGATGGTTTGTAAATGACAGGAGGTGGGCAGAGTTGGTGCAGAGTGAGTGAATGACCAGTGGAAGAGGGTGCAGAGTAAGTGAAGACTTAGAATGAACACATGGTCATGACAGGCACATAACCTGCACTTTCTTGTTCAATCATGCCAATGTCACCAGACTGGCATATTATATCTATTACTTCTTCCAGTACATTGTCTTCTGGAAGCTCCACAAGGTGAGAAGCACTGATCCCGATATCTGCAT